GGAGAGAGAGCCAGACTAATCAAAGGGGCAATATGAAGCCATTTTGGGTCAGAATCAATGTACTGAGAACCCTAGATTGCATTGTCTTCCACAAACAGTATTTCTCACCATTTTGAAGATAATTTAGGCAGCTTTTAATACATGTACCTTGCTTGTTCCATGGACACTAACATGTTTCTATCTCAGAAGAATTATTATTTTTCACTTTTCCAATGGTACATAGTTCATAAATGCATCTAAAATCATGTTTAGTATTGTTGGAATATATGTTCACTGGGAGAAATAGAGGACTTAGTGCTTCTCCACCGAGAGTGAAAAATCACAGAGAGTACTTGGCCATCTCTGGAGGCAGTTTTTCACTTTCCAAATGAAGTGTAGAATTCCTACGGGCTGCTGCTGGGTGAGATCAAAGAACCTGCTAAAATCCTCTCCCCGTCGCTGACCCACATTCCCACTCGCACCATCTCAGAAGTATTTGGCTCAAAATATTAATGACAGCATTGAAAACATGATTTGGAATAAAAGAAAGCATGAAAAAAGACAACATTCTGAAAAACTTTAATAAAACTACAGCAAACCCACAGTAGAGAGCAACTTAAACTGAAAGAAATAAAAAGCCATCTATTCTTATTATCCATATATGTAATACTTGAAAATACAGGGGAAGGCTTAGCTAATGTCCACATCATGTTGCTTATACATACATACAAACATAGACACGCATACATAGCTGACACACAGGTGCATGCATGCAAAGACACATGCATATATATATATATATATATACACACACACATGAATACACATGTGTACAAACATGCGTATACTCATACTCACACATGAACACACATGCAAGCAAACCACTTTTCTTTTATACTTGTATAATAACTAACCCTTGCTGAAATTTTAAAATTAAAATCAGTTTCTTATTGTTTAATACAATAGCATACCAAACAGAACCAAGAGTTCAACCTCTTTGATGTTTTTTGGTAATGTGCCTAATTAAAAATAACTAGGCTCCCCAAAGCATAATTACAGGAATACCTAATACACTATACTTCCAGCCCGACTTTATTCACTCATAAATATGAGTGAGAAATATGAATGATCACTATACTGCTCCCTGCTGTATCTGTACTGTTTCTGAATCAAAGGTCTTTCCTGGGTTGGGTATTTTCACTACACTTTCCCTTGCTGTGCAATCATCTCCCAGTTGGACAATTAATAAGTGGTTTTCCTCGCTAGCCCTTGATGTGCAACCTGCATTACCCTGTATTTTCGCATTCACTATGTACCTTCTTCACTCTGGCTGGTTTTGGCAGTGACTCACAATCTAAATCCCTTTTCCCCATTTGATATAAGTGAAACCATAATTATCTAGGGCTAATTTCAAATTACTACTTCATTCCACTCTCAACTGATGAAGATTAGTGGTCTTACTTTGCATTTGAGTAAGTCAGCAACACAATCACAAGAGAACTCAGCAGGCAACATTTGATTCATGTGAACTCAATTACTTCTGTCAAACACATCCATTTCAATAAAAAGCAGAAACTTTCAAAATGGGCTTTTGCTAACCATTTTGTGCTAAAAAAAAAAAAAACAACATACGACTCCTGGAGAAAATAATATGAAATACACAGGAAATAATAATAAATAACAGGTAAGGAAACACACATGGCTAAATGGAATTGGGTTAGATTTTTTTTCTGAAAACAAAGAACATTTCAAAGAAACAATTTTGCATACATATAGTAGTTAATTATAGAAATCTGAGGCACATATTTAAGCATCTCAAAGCAAATACATAAAACATTTTATATTAGTAAAATAAAAACTAGAATGTTTTTTTATTTGACCCAAAACAGACTACTGCAGATAAAGCTGTCTAATACTTTACAGGAAGTTCAATGGGAACTTCAAGTGGTGTGAAAATAAAGAATCACGTATTACTTAACTGACCTTGCCCACTGAAGCTATGCTCTGTTGTCCTTAGGAGTGAGACCATATAGTTACTTACTTGTTTAGCATTCTCAACCATGAAATTCAATTTCTAAAAATCTTTAGGTCAATCCAATCATGCCTACAGGGGTAAAAGATCACATAAGCATGATTGACCAGGTTTCCCAGGTCATCACCTGGAGAATTTTGCAAATATTCATGTATGATAATGTATTACAATACATGTATTCAAACTCCAGCTTCTTGACATAATTACAACCTTAATTAAACCTTAACCTAATTTGGTGAGCATAGAGACTGAGTAATTAAATGTGATCATGTAATAAATCTACTTTATAAATATATTTTAATAGGCCTGTTTTTGTGGCTTGACAAAGTTGACTGAGATGGTGCTCACAGTGGTGAGTACATGAAATGCCAATCATTTCAAAGTATGGAAATAATTTATTTCTTACTATTGGGAATTTAGCCTCTGAGTTTCTTGACCAAGAGTTATTTTAGAAGATTATTTTGTAAGATTTATTAAATATAATTTTGAACAGAACAAGAACATTTTCTGTATGTGAACAGAAATGAAAAATAAATCAGCAACACAACATTTTTCACACCTTTGTACATTCTCTTCTCTCTTTGCTGACTTTACTCCCTTTCCTCATGGTTTCCAATTTCTTTCTCAATTTGACTATATACCACTCCTGCCATAAGAAATGAATAGTGTAGTGGTAATAGAAAGAGGAATTACATCACTACAAATTTCGTGAAACAGCAGTATATAAGTAAATAAGAGTGATCTTTGACCCAGTATTGATCAGTCATAACATCTCTCAAGAAAAGATACTGGAGTGTAGATCAGAAGGATGAGAATGTATTTTACAGGAATGTTGGAGACAGTTGACTATTCAAGAGGGCAAAAGAAGAATTATAAAAGAACAAGTAATGCTATGAGAAAATGTTTTGATAAATTGAGCATAGTTGTGTGCTTAGCATGTAGATCAGGACACTTAGCAAAGAGACATTAGATTTCTTACAGCTGGAGTTATAACCAATTGTATGCTGCCGTAGGGGAGTTGGGGATTGAACTCAGGTCCTGTGCAAGAGCATCTGTGTTCAATCACTCAGCCATAATAATATGGAATATTTTAAAGATTTTTTTTTTCATTTACAGCATGACCTTTCTAGTTCATCCCTCTGTCACTCCTTGTGGTCTCTACTCAATTATGAAGAGTATGAGGTGAGAAATAAAAGAAGATTAGTGTTAAGTTCTCACAATAACACATATTTGATCAGACACACTACTCCCTTGAGACATGATACTTTCAATGATTAGTGTCAATGAATGCTTTCATCTCATCAATTCAAATTTATCTTAAGGGTTCAGAGTCTTCCTATTCCCTCTTTTAATCTGAAAGGAAACAAATTCTGTACTGGTCTAATTTAGCCTTCACTGACTTCCTAAAATAACATAAGTAATCAGTTAATCCTTAAAAGGATAACAAACAATATTAAGGCATTATTAGTAAACTGCCTATTTACAAAATTTAAAAATGAACTATAGTCAACATTTATTTACTAGCTCTTTCTGTCATACAATGCTATATGGCTTAACCATAAACTTTTGCAACTATTCAAGAACAAAAGGCAAGGTATTAGACCTTTCATATAATTCCAATCAAATGAACTATGATTCACTTTCCTAACACAGTTAGAAACATAATATCCATTTGACAGCATTTTAAAGTGTGTGTCAGTATTTGTGTATGTGAGTGTGCCTATCAAGAAGAGATTAAGTTGGAAATAACTAGAATTATCTATAAACAATATTGTGAGGCTCCTAAAAATAAGTTTAAAAAATTGAAAGTAGAAATGTTATTACAGGAAAGAGTTTTTGAGTGAATATATAAGCCAGCCTCATGAGGATGATCATGTAAATGATACAGTTTTGTCTCTCTAGATCTATGATCAATTGAAATCAAACTTGACCAAGATGGGTAGTACAGCAAATATACAAGGAACTTAGGAAATAAGAATAACTAGCTAGCTATCAGAAGGGAGTGAGGGTCTGCTCAGTATAACGTTTCGCCTCAGAAAACACACACAAACCTCTTGTTATCTACTTAAAATTAAGAAACCATGTTGAAAACTATATGAAGCCCATAAGAGCACACATTTCCGAAGGGGAAAAAATGTGTTTCCTTATACACTGTTCTCCACTTTGTCATAAAGCGCTACCCTGCTTTAAAAAGTCATTGATAAATACCCAAGTCTAAAAAGTCAACTTACCATATTGTGGGCAAAGTGAGAGCATTTCAAATGAATGAGGAAGCATGCATGATCAAGTTTCAATTTAAAAGAAAAATTAAAGTAGAAAAAAAAATCTCCAAGTGCAAATTGCTTTGAAATGACCTTTCTGTATTGACTCTGTCTCCAAACAGTTATTTTCATGGGGCACTGCTTATTATGCACTTAAAATTGATCTATAAATTTTGAAAAGCAAGCATATAATTGCAACCATATGTAAACAACGTAGTAAGCTACGTCCTTGGAGATGACAAATGTTTTTCTGAGAAGTTCATGTGGCTGAACCCATTTTCAAAGAATTTTTAAATGGAAGTTTAAAGCTTGCCAGGACAAATTTCCCCTAAGATTTTTATATTTTAATTCTGTACAACAAAACAAGGATAGAAATAACTTCACGACAGCAAGCCACAGTGGTAGACAGACAACAATCCTACAATGGATGCTAGCAGGCCATCGGTTGTGCCAACCACAATAAAACGTCTGAGCAGGAGGTGAATATGAGACATCGTACCAAAATCCACACTCTGAGCATTAAATATGTATACCCAATAAAGTAGTGCATTAAATCTTTCATCATTGCTTGAAAGTCTTTGACATTCAGAGAAGGAAGAAATAAAGCTTGAAGAGACACAATCTCCAAAAATTACCAAAATAAAAGTTAACTTGTAATTAATGCAGGAAATAGACACACATGATGCAAGAGAAACACAAAACCAACACAAATCACAGGAAAAGCTTACCTTGGCAGGTGCCATTTTTCTCTTCATATCCAGCCTTACACATGCATTTCCCAATGGGAACCAGCCACTCTCCTTCAGCACTGCAGTGCATTTTGGGAGGATCATCTGTCACAGAATGGTTGACACAGGAACCTGACACCTCTAACAACTGCGAAGAATCAGCCCCAGTGATGGTGTCCGGGAAGATAGCCAAGTGTCTTACCACAGAAGGACATTTTTTATAGTACACACGCACAGACACTAGAGCAATGCAAGCCCCGAGGTCTTGGAAAGCGAGATAAAATCCCTTCTTACTCAGAGGTCCTACATCTCTGACCTCCGTATTGAGTTTCATGACACGGTCTCCAAGATCTAGTTCTGTAAAGCTCTCATCAGCAGCAATGGTATCAATCTTGATGTACTGGTTCTCTTTAACGTTCCTTCCATTCTCATCATCGGATTCAAAATAATACATGTTAAATGTCTCCTTACATGTGCCCAGGCCTCCAGGAAGGCTGTTGCAATCCCTTAGAGTAAATTTGAGTTCAATAAAGATTCTGGAAGCACCTTCATTGGATATCCAACTTGTCAACAGCCAATTATTCTGATTCTGTTCCATAACTCTGCATACTTGGTATGTGTGGATAGGGGCATAGTTTTCATCAACTTCGCCAATCTCTTCCCACTGTAAAAGAGAAAATAGAGAGGTGTGAGAAAAACTAAAAACTCAGAAAGAAAAAAGAAAATAACACACACAAAAGAATACAATGTAATTTTCCAAAAGAAATATATGTACTTTCATACATATCATTGAAAGAGTTTGGGAAGAACAGATGCGCAAAAGCATTTTGATTTCCTGGATTTCACATTAAGAATTCAATCTGAGGTCTGATATTGCTAAGAATATACTCTCCCACTAAGCTACAATTTATACCCCCATTTGTTGTGTACATCATTGGATTAAGCCAAAGATAGGAAAATGTGAATGAAATGCCCCAAAGAGGAAAAAAAAATTTAGGATAAAAATTTTAGATATTTATATTTACTGAACAGAAAGAATGAAAGCGGATTAGATAGAACAAAGGTAATTCTCTAAAAAAACATTAAAATTATCTCTAAAATTTCTATGTGCTAAAAATTTGATCCAGGCTACATAGCTATTTAGAAAATATTGGTATAGTGAAGAGTTAGCGATATAACTAGGGGAAATAATATTATTTTGATAAATGAATATAGCAAAAAACTTGACTACTACTGACATATTGATATACCCGTAGATGAGTACACCACTCAGCCCTCATTAGAGAAGCTTCTCGCAGTAGACGGCAATTAACAAAGAGACCTACCGCTGTACAATGTGTAGAGATTGAGAGATTTTAGAGCACTCTGTGCTATATAGGCTTTTTGTCTGTTAGTTTGTTTTTGTTTATTTTTTATTATTTATTTATTCATTTATTTACAAAAAATTTCCACTTCCTCCCCTCCTCCCAATACCCTCCCACTCTCCCCCACTCCCTCTCCTCCTCCCTCTCCAGTCCCAAGGGCAGTCAGGGCCTCCTGCCCCGTGAGAAGTCCAAGTTCCTCCCCCCTCCCTCCAGGTCCAGGAAGGTGAGCATCCAAACAGACCAGGATCCCAGAAAGCCAGCACATGCAGACGAAACAAGACCCAGCACCATTGTCAATGGCCTCCCAGTCAGGCCCCATGTCAGCCACATTCATAGAATCCAACCCGATCACATGCTCGTTCAGTCCCAGTCCAGCTGGCCTTGGTGAGCTTCCATTAGATCAGTCCCCTTATATCAGTGGGTGAACGCACCCTTCTCGGTCCTGACTTCCTTTTTCATGTTCTCCCTCCTTCTGCTCCTCATTTGGACCTTGGGGGCTCAGTCCAATGCTGTCAAAGCCTTTCCCTCAAGGGTATGTAGGGGAAAAAAGATTATAAGACCCAGAGGTGGTGGATGACTCTTAAGAAGCAATGTCTTCCATACACAATAGGACTGATGTACATGTGAACTCACAGAGACTGTGACAGCACACAAGACCTGCACAGGTTCAAACAAGACAAAATCTCAGCACTGAGAAGAGGAAGTGGGCACAAAGACACACTCCTAGTCAAAAAGCTATTCACAACCCTGACCTGATGAGAAGGAAAAATCTGTTTCCTTCTCATCGCCAGTGGGGTATCACATTCTGAGAATAGGCTCTATGCCCAGATATAATTGACCAATAAAGAAAAAAAAAACCTATATATTAGAGGTTGGCTTTTTTGCTTCATTTTGTTTGTGTATTGTTGTCTTAATTTGTTTTTGTTTGTTTTGACTGCTGATTGCAGAGATTTTTTTTTTTTTTGAGAGGGAGAAAGATCAGGGAGCTGAGCAGGAACTGGTAGCAGTTGAGGGAGAGGAAGAAATATGCTCAAAATATATTGCATGAAAAAAAATAAGTAGAAGAAAACAAAATAGTTGAGGCCTGGAGAGATGTCATTAATTCATTTCACAGTTTCCTTCAAAGGGAATGAGAGGGTCTAGTCTTTTCTTTTCCTCTGGTGTATTCTGGTCAAGTAAGCAGTCTTTCTCTGTCACATACCCTTGCCAGCATTGCTGGTCAGTCTCAGAGTAGTGAGACCCAATTGATCAAAGACCAAATTCATTACAACTTAAAATTGAGATTTAACTTTTTGTTCTATGATTTAACTACAGCAGGTATTTGTTTTAGTAGCTGAAAGGAAACAAGGTAAATAAAGTTTAAGTGGAATAAAGCATAATATAAAAAAAAGAGAACAGAGAACAGCAAGCACACGAAAGAGAGATATTATATTTAAGACACAGCAACTTATTTAATATTGTCATCTTGGAAATCACATATCAATATAATAAAATTTGAAAGTAAATCTATTAACTCAAAATTAATAATAAATATGTACTCTTATGTATTGACTCCAAAACATATCTTAGTCAAAGAGAACTTATAAATAATTTATCCCCGCCAAAATACTCCCACCTTTAGAATATGAAGATACCAGATTCCAGAACAGCACATCACAGACATTCATTGCTTCAACACATCAGTTGAATTTAAGAATTTTGTAAGCTTGTACAGAACCTATTTGAACATAACTCTGCAAAATTAAGTTTTTTTAATATTCTAGAAGTACAACCAGCAATGAATATTGCTGACTTTCAATAAATAGAGAATATATAGCTTCAGACGTTAGATATTACACATAAACCCAGAGAAATTTATTTCTACGAATCTGAAATTAAAGATAGCATTGTTTTTTCATTCTTTTCAGTTGGCAGAAATGTAAAAAATGTAGAATCAAATAGATGGAAATATTTTTATACTTCAGATGCCTACCTAAAAATTTTAGCTGCCCTCAGACAGACACATGTAAAAGGTGGGAAGGACATAAAACTTTTGAGTGGTAAATTCACAAGAGAAACCCATGGACATCATGAGAACAACTTTGCCAGTGTGTGTCATCAGAGGGCTAGATTCTTTCATTCTGTATCATTTTTTTTTCTGTTTAAAGTGAATATCAACTTTGCTTAGCCACTGATTCTACAGCAACTATTTGGGCATTCTAATAACAAGCTGCTTATATATTAGTCTACAAGCAATTTTAGTTTAGATTCTATATTATAAATCATCTCTTCATGTCATGATCAATATTTAACGTAAAAGAACTAAAAACAAAAAGGTGAACAATAAATTTACCATAATATGAGTTAAATGGTGTGTTTTGTATTAGTACAGGGGAATATAAAATGATAAAGAAAAGGAAATGAAAATATTATTGCTTAAATATTCATTTTCTTTCATGATACTCTTTCAAACAAAGCATAATCAAGGTCCAGACAAGGTACAGAAGGATGAAGTTACAAGTAGAGTAACATAAAATACAAGGAGCCTCTGACATCAGAAACCAAGGCAGTCACAGCCCTTTAGAGCAAAGAAGAAATACTAAGTGCAAGCCACACAGCAGTTGACAGGGCAGCTGTGTGCTCTTGCTTCAGGTGCCAATTTACAAACATGTGTATGAACGTCTTATTGCTTTGAATTGTTTCAATTAATGGGAAACTATTTAGAATCTATTTTGGTACGATTTTATTTATTTATAGTTTTCCAGCATAAAACTGTAGGTTCACAATGTCTGTTTCAATGAACAAAGAGACAACTTTAAACATTTTGACAAAAAAGATTCTAAGCAGGGACTATCAAGATTTCCCATGCCTGTCCTCAGTTAAACAAATATGTTTAAGAATTAATAAATATTTTATTTATTTTTGATTATCTAAAATAATCACAAATCTGGCAGTTTTGCTCCTCTTAGCATAAGAAATAATATTTCTGATCTGAGAAAAAGAATAAAAAATAAAAACAGGTATGGTGAAGAAACAAAACAAACAGAATAAAATAAAATAATGATGAAAATATCATTCATCAAGAACTCAGGAAAAGGATAGGTAAATTTCAAGTTACTTTTACAAAAGGCATATCAAGGAGATTGTAGTAATTTAATGAAAGCTGTGAAAAGTTTATGTTCAGTGTTTCTGGATGAACTATGATTTTGTGACCACTTGATATTAGTAAGGTGGACAAAAATCTGTCTTTCCAGATCAGGGCAATTCCCCAAGGTCTATACTCTAAGTCCATGTTCTTCTCTCTAGTTGTTTTCTGCTTATTTCCTATGTGTTTGCCTTAAAATTTAAGTTCCTGCTAAACAGATAGCTTAGTCTGGCATGACATCTCTCCCAAGTGCTGATGGCTTTTTAACTTTTCTCAGGCTTGAAAAACTCCTACGAAGTTGTATTCTTCTCTCACCCCGCTGAGGCTCTCATGTCACCCACACTCACCAGGAAACTGATTCACTATTTTATATGTGTGGCATAAATTCTTCTCCCTTTCTCCCTAACTATAAGAACGCTTTTCTTTGGTCTACTCTGCCTTCTTAAGCGTCTTGCCTGGAGCACCAGCTATCTCCTGCTTCAGCATGACTCTCATGACCAATCCAGCAGCGCATGCATTGTACTGCGCTGCGCTGCACTGCGTTCTTTCCCATTAGCACAGGAAAATACTCAGGGCACAAAGTTTAGGCTCCAATCTTCCTTTAGATTGTGCTCCCAAATCCATACTGAGAAGCATTGTGGAATGGAATTGATTCTGACCTTTACGCTGTCAGAGGTTACAGTTCCGTTTTCATTATTTTATTTCTATTTATCTTTCTTCTACATCAAGGAATTAATCAATTCCTTGAGGTCAAGGAACAGTGGTAAGAAACTCCACAGTCAACCTCTGGATAAAGATGCTTGATTGTCATTGTTCAGTGGGAAATTGTGCCTTGCAGTTCAATTTTAGTGTCAAAAATTCTGCTTTCTCAATGTATAAATTGGGATCCAGTAACTGGCACGTAGGCTCTGTAAACTGAGTTGAGAACTGAAGTTATCTACTGTGATCAGTTAAAAATACTAATGTCCAGTCTATAAAAAAAAAGAAAAAGAAAAGTAGGAAAAACAGGAAGAGTCTAAATATCAGATGTTCTAACTATTTCAGAAATAAAACATCTGAGGAGCAGAAACAAGAATGGACCTTTTAAAGCACACATAAGTGCACATTCCATCTGACCAACTTGTCTGTCCAGATCTAAGTCTAACTTCCGGGCATACCTCTCCTTCACCTGAGGAT